GGAACCCCCCTAAAAAGCAGGAGTAGCTGTCCTCTTTGCAGATCATGTGGATTCAAACCAACACTGATTAAGAGAGACAAAGAAGGACACTACATCCTTGTAAAGGGAAAAATCCAAGAGGAAAAGATGACAATCATAAATATATATGCACCAAACACTAGTCCACCTGACTATATAAAAAAATAATGATGGACATGGAAAATCAAATCAGCACTAGTAGTAGTGCTCAATACCTCGCTGTCACAAATATATCAACTAGATGAAAAATAAACAACAAAATACTAGAACTCAATAACACTTGAACAAATGAATGTAACGGATGTTTACAGAGTGTTCCACCCCACAGAAGTCAGAGTAGACATTCAGTCCAACTGCACATTGGTTGCTCTCCAAAGTAGACCACACACTCACTCATAGAACATGTTTAATTAAGTGCAAAGGAATTGAAATTATCCCCTGTATATTATGAGACCATATTGTGATGAAACTGGAGATCAATAGCAAAAGAAATAGCAAGAATTTCATAAACACATGGAAACTGAACAACATACTTCTGAATAACTAATGGGTCACAGAGGAAATTAAAAGAGAAATCAGACAGTTTCTACAATTAAATGACAAGGCCAACACAACATATTGGAATCTATGGAAAACAATGAAAGTAGTCTTAGGGAAATTCATAGCAAGGAATACTCATATTAGGAAAACAGAGCAAACTCAATTAAACAACCTGATGCTGCACCTCAAGCTTCTAGAAAAAGAAGATCAGGACAAACCCAAAGCTCATTCAAGGGAGGAAATTATAAAGAGCAGAGCAGGAATCAATGCAAATGGAGACTAAGAGGATGACTCAAAAAAATCAATGAAGTCAAGAGTTGGTTCTTTGAAAGAATAAACAAAATTGACAAACACTGAGCCAACCTTATCAAAAAAAGAAAAGAAAAGGCCTAAATCCTTGCATTTAGGCATGAAAAGGGTGAAATTACAATGGACACAGCAGAAATCCAGAGGATCATCAATACCTACTTTGAGAAATATACACCAATAAGACGGAAAACACAGAAGATATGGACAGATTCCTAGATACATACAAATTAACAAAGGTGAATGAAGAAGACCTAAAAATTCTAAACAACCCAATATCAATGAAATTGAAAACATAACTAAAACCTTACCAACTAAGAAAAGCCTGAGCTTCACTGCTGAATTCTGCAAGACATTTAGACAGGAATTATTACCATTGCTGTTTAAACACTTCAGTGAAATTGAAAAGGAAGCAATGCTCCCGAATTCATTCTTGGAAGCAAGTATCACTTTGATCCCCAAAGCAGAGAAAGATCTAACCAAAAAAGAGCACTATAGGCCAATCTCACTAATGAACATAGATGCAAAATCCTTAATAAGATACTGGCAAATAGAATGCAGAAAAAATTCAAGAAGATCATACACCTTGACCAAGTGGGATTCATCCCAGGGATGCAAGGATACCTCAACATATGCAAATCAATAAATGCAATACACTATCTTAAAAGATCCAAGGACAAAAACATGACCATCTCAACAGATACAGAGAAAGCATTTGACAAAATCCAACACATATTCATGATAAAAATCCTACAAAAAATTGGAATAGATGGTCTCTACCTCAATCTCATAAAAGCCACCTATGAAAATCCAACAGCCAACATCATACTAAATGGTCAAAAACTGAATCCTTCACACTAAAATCAGGATCAAGACAAGGATGTCTGCTATCACCACTCCTGTTCAACATAGTTTTGAAAACATTAGCCACAGCAAATAGACAAGAGAAAGAAATAAAAGGACTAAAGACAGGAAATGAAGAAGTCAAATTGTCATTATTTGCAGATGACATGATACTCTATATAGAAG